CCCCAAAACCCCAAAACCCCAAAACCCCAAAACCCCAAAACCCCTTTAAATCTTAATTTATTTAAAATCAAATTGGATGGAGAATTTCGGGTGAAACAAGGTTTTAGGCCTCATTTTTGTTCGTGTTTTGGCCAAAATTTAAGAAAGTGATTTTGGGTAGAAGAAAGGGGTATTTGACAGATTTCGCTTGGGCCTCTTGGATTTTCTTCTAGCAGGCACTGGGCTGGCGTACTTTGAGTAATGAGGGATTTTATTCGGTGAGAGAAGAGAGGTTTTAGGATAAGCTGGATTATTTTGACTCTGAGATGGTCCCAAGAGGAATAGAGATGTTGGTAGGTAGCTTTGATCGCCGATTTGGGGTGATATATGTCTTCCGAGGATTTTTCTTACCCTCATTTTGAACAATAACCATTCTTGAACTCCTTAGTTTGGATATCCTATGAAGTATTATAGACATACTAGAGAGTATTTACCTTGTTCTATTCATTGATCGCAAAGCATCCGGAGACATTGGTGATCTATCTGAGACTAGAAATAAAAATGAGCAAAAGAGTTCCAACATTAAATGAAGTTAATACTTACAGGTATCTCTCTTATTGGCATAGCTCTTCTTATGTGCGTTAAATTTTCATGCGAATTGTGTATTCAAAGGAGCTATATTTATGATCAAACAGATCTTCTTAAGATAGTCAATTTGAGTATACCTAAAGTACTTGTCTTCTTATTCCTCATCATTTTTCTCTTCTCCAACATGTTAAGCTTAGGAGCTTTATGAACAAAGAAATTAAGTTTTTGTTTTTCAGCTCTTGTGCGAGATAAAATTCTATGATTTTATTCAGCAATTTTACTTCTTTTTATGCACCTTCTCCTTTGATCTCTTTGTTTGTGGACTCTCACTGTCGCTTACTGAATTGGTGGATGATTTTGAATCAAAATTTCTATAGAATAAAGTTTAGCTGGAAAATAGAATTCATCCCTACGATTCTTCTTGCATTCCAAACTTTTTCTGAAAACTATCCAATCCTGGCATATTATAGCCTTTTGGAGGAGGAGTTACATTCACAGAAGGAGCTCCTTCTTTGATTTGTAGAGTGCTTGTCCTAAATATGATTCCTCCTCGTTTATCGCGGAAAGGACTTGGCTTCTTTTGGGTATTTCCCAATGAAGCCTCATTATCCTTCGAATCTTCTTCATTATCTACGGTTTTATTATCAAAATCGCAGACATCTTCTTTACTCTTACTACCCTGGTTGACATATTTACGCTTTTCAATAAGAATTTTGTAAGTATCTGACTGTATGAAATCCTTCACAACAGTTGACATACGGAATTTGAGCTTCTTATTATACCTAAATATCTCTCAAACTAGTTGAAATACCTGCTCTTCCGCTTCTTATCCTTCTGGTCTGTATGAATTCTGATATCGAATGAGCTGATTCCGCGAGGTTTAGACTTCTCTTTTAAGATGTATTGTGAAATTTCTCAGATATGGTTTCTAAAATCTATTAAAAAGCACTTACTGTTCTTTACTGGCACGAGGACCTTCTTTTTGCTCTTACTCTTCTCTTTGGCCTTATGCAGTACTTTTTCAGGAACTATAGCTTTTTGCCATTGTTTAGTAGGAGATTTCTTGTTTAATTTACAATGAAATTCTTCCTTCATCTTAAGATAGAAGTCATAATTATTAGCAAGTTTGATAAACATCTGATAAGTCTCGTCTTCCTCAATGTTCCCATCAGAGCGGTTCGCCATCGGAATGATCTTATTTCTCATAAATATATCTATAATCCAAGAATTAGGCATAATGTATGAAATACCGCTCAGATTTCAAGGATTCCTTGGCATATTTCCATGAATCTTACCTTTTGAATACTTCATAATCCTGAAGGATCAGGTCAGTCGAAGCCTTAAATAGCCGAATTAGCTTCCTAATTTCCTCTTTACATTTATTTGGATATAATATAGCTTGAAATAGCGTAGGATTTGCTCCTCCCCTGCGTGAAATTTAGGATTTCCTTCCAAAGATTCCCTCCTTGCTTATTGTTTGAACTAGTAGAATATGAATGTTTTCCAAATTTTGAAGAATTATTTCAGAAAATATTCAAAAAGCATCATAACATAAATTCCTCAAGAGAACTTTGTGTTAACTTATTTATTTATATGAGAAAATTCTGATGTAAAAACCTTCACTAGAGATGTAGGTTTAAAATGAATTACCAAAAAGGCTAAACTTGAGCACTCAAGTAGCCTCAAAAGCTCAAGATAATCGCACTATTTTGTTGCTTTAGTAAAGAGCTATTGTAAGAGGTGCCTTACCCATTAAAGTTAGTGAACATTCCGTCACTGAAGGGAAGAGCATTCTTATCTCCTCTAAGAGTTTTCTCAATTTTTGTAATTGATTCTTTACAGTTGTTTTTTATTAGAGAGCCTATGATTCATTGATTAAGGGATTTCATTTAAAATGATAGTTCAAAGGAGACAAGATTTTGCTCGAACAAATGTTTACTACCACAAATAATAATACTCAATATGATCTACTAAAGGAGAACCTTACTGGATATCAATTTCAAAAATATTGTTAATATAGCAAGTATTACCTTCGTCATGAAAAATTGCCTCTTTCGAGCCTCCATAATTATAGGAATTCATGGTTGATGGAGAAATGAATGCAGAGATTGTATCAAGCCTTCTGTTTGATGAGAATGCAATCCTTCTCTTTATGACTGGGGATTTCAGGCTATAAAAATAAATGCAGCTTTTCAAATCAGAATATCTATCTTCTTGAGATTAAATGTACAAAAAGTACTCTTGATGATGTTCAGAAAGTAGAAGTAAGAATTAGAATGCTATAGAGCAAGAATGAGCTATAACAAGCCTGGTTACCTGTTGTTTTCACTCATCTTCAATCCTAATTTATCGTAATATTGTTTTAATGCCAATTAGAATAATTGTTTTGGGGTTTTGGGGTTTTGGGGTTTTGGGGTTTTGGGG